GAACTCCTTCTGCACTTCGGGTCGGCCGAACATGCTGAGCATGTTTGGCCGACCCGAAGCCACCCGATGTACGGCTGATTTCAGCCGATATACCGCTGAAATCAGCCGTACCAGCCCGAAGTGAATAGCGTTCAGCTCACTTCGCTTTAGGTCGTTCATTCACCCGGCTGCCTACGGCAGCTTAGTGAATAGACCCCTTAATATACTTAATGCCCAGCATTAAGTCGCTCTGCTTCTGCTCTTTTTCTGTGCCGATTACCTCTCAATCACAGCACACCCCTCTCGCGGATTCACTCCTCAGCTTGCAGCACCGATTACCCCACTTGCTGATCACTTGCTCTGCTTTTGTGGCACCGATCACGCCACTCGCTCCGCTCCTGCAACACCGTTCAGCCTTAGTTGCCGACGACTCGCTCCGCTCCCGTAGCACCAATCACCCCACTCGCTCTGTTCCTGCAGTCCCGGGCTGCCACGCCACTCCGATCGCCGGCTCCAATCTCTCCATACCGTTCCGTGATGTACCCTCTCCCCCCCGAATAAGTGTTCCTGGAGCCTGTTGTGGCTGATGTCACCGCAGTCTTACTGCGTATGGAAATTCTCACACAGGATACTTCAGCTTCTTTCAAACTTGTGCTGCTTACTTCTCTACCCGACAATTGTGATGTCTCCACATTGGTAAGTCCAATAACCCACCCTCTGTTTTTTCTTCTCTGATTTAGTCACTCCCTCTATTCATTTTCTTTTGATGACTTATGAGTATGGTTCCTATATAAACTCCATTAATTTGCCAGATATTGGACTGCCGTGGACACCAAAAATAACATGAAACCATGCTCCCAAACCATAAAATCACAAGTGAAAATAACAGAAAAAAAACTTACCCCAACGTATCATTCAGTGCCACAATCAACACTGTGTCACCAAAACTGGTCATAAGACAGAAGGTTTTTCCATGTTGCCCGTTGGGAGCCACAGTCTAAAGGGGTTAAGCCACCAGGTTTCATAGTGCACAGATACCCTGCTGTAATCGTCGCTGTCTACGGGCTGCATTATCAGTGATCATACACGGTTATGCTACAAGCCAGTGTTTTAGAAGTTCTTAGCAACATGTTTCAATTTTTCTAATAGATATACAGTACCTATAGAACTTGCCTGATACTAATTCTGTGATGCACTTTACTCTGTGCATGTTTGCTTAGGATGTGTCACCTAGGTTTCTAACCTACCCATGCTGAGGGGCTCCAGTAACTGATGCGGAGGAAACAAACTTGTTTCTTCAGAATTTTACATAATTCTGTTACTCTGATTCTTACCGTTGTATTAGTGACCTCTATGCCTGGTCTGTATAAGCAGATACAATCACTGCGAACAGTCTTTATCAGATAGCTGAACTCACCAAATTACCTTTTTTATCCACGAAGATCTTTATTGAATGCAGCAGGTTACAGCAGACAACAGGATGCAGCAGATGATTGAACATGATGGTAGGTATTTGCAGGTTAAATGACAATATGCTAGTAATGCTTAAGGAAATTGACTATATAAAATTCTCACTTCACATTAATATAAATATTAAACATGACTATGCATTGTCATATTTTACACAATAGATGTAACAGCACACTCTCCGTCTAGTATTGTAAAATACCACTATACTATAAAATAACGGTAGTTCTAGAAGTGCAAATAAACAACAGTTCAATTTGCAGTAGTCTTGAAGACCTGAAAGACAAAAGAAGATGCATATAATGCAACAACAATAATAACACATTGAGTCCATGAATGTGACGTGGTAACTTGTCCCTAAAGAGATTTAGGTCACTTGTCCATAGGTGACATACTTGTTAAGTTCCTTGGAGACTAAAATAGGACAGTCTCTCTGGTTGTTTAAAGTCCATTCTTGTGTGAATGGTGCAATGTTAGTAGCTATGGACACTCATGTAAATCCAGTTTAGACATCACTGGATTCACGCCATGAGCGGTGTCCAGGAAGCTTAGTCCAGGTAGACGTGGGTTTGTCCTTGCCAACTCTAGCTCCAAGAGGGGGTTACTTACTTCTTGAAGCTTACAATGATCCTTGTTGCCTATTTTGTGAACGTTTTGCAGTCTCTTGAATAGAGCGCTTTCTATTGCTTCAGAGCTACCATAGGTTTGCTCAAGTCTTGCCCATGCAGCAGCAAGACCTGCATCTGGGTAGTCTTTTAACACGACCTGCAGATTCTGACCCCAGCCCCCTTATGAGCAAATCAAGTTCCTCCTTGGCCGTAAGGTTGAGATCAGCAATAGCAGCTTTTGAAGGTTGATCTCCAGGCCCTGTACTTCTCTGGACAGTCGTCGAACCTTGAGAGGCTATTGTTAATGAGCTCACGGCGAATTATATATCTGGAGAAGTCAGACAGGTCTGATCTCTCACTCTTTGGTGCCAAAGTACTTGTGGAGCCTTTTGGACATGAAAGTTCTCTGGTGAAGAAGGGTGAGGTATACCAGGATAAAATGACGTTGCAAGAGCGTTTTAGCTGTGGTCTAAGGCTTATGCTGGCTGTAGCTTGTCGCTGGGAATCACCTTGTCGTTGGCAGGCGGTGAAGTGGTTTGCTCAGGACCATAGATAATTGGCAAAACAACACTGTGTAGAGAGCTTCATGGAATGGGTTTCCATGGCGGAGCAGCTGCATCCAAGCCTTGCATGGGTTTCCATGGCGGAGCAGCTGCATCCAAGCCTTGCATCACCAATCTGTACAGCATCAAATGCAGTGGTGTAAAGCATGCCGCCACTGGACTCTAGCGAAGTGGAGACGTGTTCTCTGGAGTAACGAATCACGCTTCTCTGTCTGGCAATCGGATGGACGTGTCTGGGTTTGGCGGTTGCCAGTAAAACGGCACTTGCCTGACTGCATTATACCAAGTGTAAAGTTTGGTGGAGGGGGGATTATGGTGTGGGGTTGTTTTTCAGGGGTTGGGCTTGGCCCCTTAGTTCCAGTGAAGGGAACTCTTAAGGCATCAACATACCAAGACATTTTTGACAATTCCATGCTCCCAACTTTGTGGGAACAGTTTGGGGATGGCCCCTTCCTGTTCCAACATGTCTGTGCACCAGTGCACAAAGCAAGGTCCATAAAGACATGGATGAGCGAGTTTTTCGGTGGAGGAACTTGACTAACCTGCACAGAGTCCTGACCTCAACCCGATAGAACACCTTTGGGATAAATTAGAGCGGAGAATGTGAGCCAGGCCTTCTCGTCCAACATCAGTACCTGACCATACAAATGCGCAGGGCAGCCATCAGAAATTTTGGGGCCCCTTACACGGCTTTAGGCCAGGCCCCCCCCCCCCGCGCCGCTGGACGCCGGGCTTAGTGACGCGCTGGACGCAGGGCTTAGTGACGCGCTGGACACAGGAACCACCTGAGAGTGACCCTGCAGAGCCACCCATATATGCTGCACAGACTGTCTCAGACTGTCTATGGTGGGCTCGGAAGGGGTCTCAGGTGGGCTGGTCAGGGCTGCATCCCTCCCTCCTTTCTTTCTTTCTTTCTTTCTTTCCTTCCTTCCTAGCTCCTCTTACCTGCACACATGGCCTCGTCTGCCGCCGGACCGGCCAGAAGTGATGTCACTTCTGGCCAGTCTGACATCAGACGAGCAGCTTATATATATATAACACACACACACATATATATGCATATATTATGTAACTATGTATCTTTTGTGTATGTGACAGTAATAAATGTTAGAATTTAACATTCTGCTTAATCTTGTAGGTGTAACACTACCAGTGTTTGAACATTATCAGGAAGGAGGGGACAGTGAGTATTACATTTACATCCTTGTTTCTTCTAGCGTGTTGCTGATCTACTGATCCTATGCATCATTTCTAACTTTGCTTGCCAGGTTATGAGTTGACGGGTCTTGCACGAGGTGGTGAACAGCTGACTAAACTGAAGAGAAATTATGCGAAAGCTGTAGAGTTGCTTGTAGAACTGGCCTCCTTGCAGGTATGCAACCTGAATAGACTAATGTGTACTATAAAACAGTAAGTACATTCATTAGGCTGGGATCACTCAGGTTTTTATTACAAGCCTTTTATTTTACATTTTAATTTCATTAGCAGTAAAAAAAAAATCCAAGTAGTAGGAACTTTCTATAAAAATGATGTCAAAATACGAGAGGTAAATCTAAAAGGCTTTCTACTTTCAGTTTGAATTATAATAATCTAACTTTCTAACAATACAGAGGAAAACGACAATATTTATGACCTTAAAAAGGAGAACTATGGGGTTAAGGCTTTTCCCCATAGTTCTCGTTAGGGTAACAGGAGGACACAAACTAGCGTCCTCCCGTCACCCTAGGTTCAGATGCCGCGAGCTGTATACTGAGACGCCGCAGTATACCGCGAGCTGCTGTATACTGAGACGCTGAAGCGGATCCCGACAATTATGTCTGGATCCGCCCAGCTGCGTGACTGACAGCTGGCTCTGCCTATCTAGAGGCAGAGCCAGCTGTACCCGCCCCCGTCCGTTCCACCAGTCAGCGCTGGCGGATCGGAGCGGGGGGAGAATCCAGCCCTTCCCCTGTCAAGGCAGAGAGCCGTGACAGGATCGAGAGGTGAGCAATGCCGGTATGTGTTCGCTCACCTCCCGATCTACTAAGCCGACCTGTGACAGTCTCATTGTCACAGGTCGTCTAGAACTATGAGGTGAGTGAAAAGCACTCACCTCATAGTTCTCCTTTAACAGAAACGGCAACCACTTTATTACTTATCATTTGCTTTTTGATATAAGGTGCACCTGAAAGGATTTTCGCAGAACAAACGCAATACAAACATTTCCAAGCATATTTACCAGATAGCCAGCAAAAAAACAAACACATTTACTCTGTTTAACAATTTGCGTTGAGGTTTTAGTTGTACATATGTGCAATTTTACGTAAAAGCCATAGTGCCTCGTCAAGGCCCCCCTGCGAAGTGTGGACCCTAACTTTAGTCTACCACAGCCTGCATGTTGGGAAATACTGTGTGTATATATAGCAATGTATAAATTCAGGGCTGGTTTGCCTGGAGGTAGTCTATTCCTCCTTAGCCCCGCACAGCACAATGGCAACTTCTAGACCCCCAGTGTGTCTACGCACCAAATCCATCAAGATAAACAGAAATGGCAACTGCTCCAATTTAATTTATAACCACTTGAAGACCGGTGTGTTGAACCCCCTTCCTGTCCAGGTAATTATTCAGTATTCAGTGCTAAGGTAATTAGCCTGACATTTATTCAGTCATGCAACGCCCTACTGAAATGAATTTTATGCAATTTTTTTGGGTGGTATTTAAAAGCCACTGGGTTTTTTTTAACTAATATAAAGAAAAAAAGTTTTCCTTTACATTGTTATGAAACATTGAAAACAAATACATTAAGGCCAAAATGTATTCTGCTACATTTCTTTGGTCATGTTGCATAAATAGATACCAAACATGTCAAGCCATAAAATTGCGCGCGCCCGTGAAATAGCAAAAAAAAAAACCACCATACCGAAAATTACCCATAGGCGACACTTTAACCCTTTTGGTGCCACGGACGTATCTCATAAGTCGCTGCCAGGGGACCCCTTTAAACAGACTCTCTGCTTTACAGTGGAAGTGATTCTGGCAGCTCAGCTGCTGCCAGATCGCTTCCAGGGGCCAGTGAAGTGTGCTGCCTGCCCGACACCCCCGCCTTGCTTCCCAGGCTCCAATGTCCCTCATGCAGTCCTCCACTTCCAGTTCCTTAGCTGTCATTGCTTGGCTACAGAAGCCGGGCAATAAGCTATTAGAGTGCGATCTGCACTTCAATAGCTTATTAGGAGTGCAAAGGTGACATTTAGGGTCTAATTGACCCTTAATATCACCTTAAAGAAAACCTGTCACCATTAGTATGCTATCACATAGGGAGGTTGTAAGCCCTCTTATGTGATGGCAATTAAGTAAAGTAAAAAAATGTATTAAATAAATGTAAACATAAAAAAAATTTTAAAGGCCCTTGCGAGCATGTGCATATTAATGTAAACCCGCATAGGGTGCGCCTACGTACAAAAATGACGATCACGCTACTTATGTTCGGTATTGCCACGTGCGCCAGAAAGAGAGCAATAATTCTAGGGCCAATATTCATTGATATCTAACGTTATGATGACCTGTAGGAACTTTTAAAACATCGCCTATGGACAGTTTGGTGTATCTTATTTTGTCGCCGTTTCACGGACAAACACAATTTTAAAATGAGCATGTTGGGTATCTATTTATTTTGCATGACTATTCAGCTTCCAGTAAAAGTCCTGGTCCGGATGGCTTTACCCTCAAATATTACAAGACTTTTTAATCCTTCCTACTCCCGTATCTTAGTTCATATTTTAATACCTTCTTCACGGGTACTCCATCACCATCTACTCTACATGCACACATCTCAGTCTTCCCCAAACCTGGTAAAGACCCCACTTGTTGCGGTAGTTATCACCCCATCTCTTTATTGAACACCGATACTAAATTGTTTGCCAAAGTCCTTGCTCATAGGTTAAACTCCCTTATGCCAAATTTGATTTCCCTTGATCAGTTGGGGTTCATACCGGGTAGAGAAGCTAGGGACAACACCCAGAGAGCCATTTCCTTGATACATTATGCTTCCACTAATTTGCGTTCAAAGCTTATTTCCACTGATGCCAAAAAGGCTTTTGATCTGGTAAATTGGGATTATCTTTTTATCACTCTCTCTTACTTTGGATTTGGCCCCCGTCTCATTAACTCAATTAAAATCACTATATTCAAGCCCCTCAGCACAAATTAAACTAAATGGTCATCTCTCCCCCTCTTTTCCAGTTTTTTTAATGGTACCAGATAGGACTGCCCTCTTTTCCCTCTTATAATATTTGAGGGTAAAGCCATCCAGGCCAGGACTTTTACTGGAAGCTGAATAGTTTATGGCAGAGCTAATTTCCTGCTCTGTGATAGGGGATTCAAAGGAAGCAAGTAAGTCTTGTGACAAGTTAGGGAATGGTAATTTAGATAGCTAAGCATGAATAAGCTGAGTTTGATACGATTTGTCATGGTCTGTCATAGACAGGGCTGGCCTTAGGCCTTTAGGCGCCTATAGAAAAGAAATTGAGGACACCAAATCCTCAATTTCTTTTTCTACAGCCTCAGCACTCAATGAATGGGAAGCACTCAGTACAGAGGCTTCCCATTCAAATACTTACTGTTTCTGAATCGGGAGGAGCCTCTGTGCTGAGTGCTTCTCCGCATTGAGGAAACCTTGAATGAACAGGCTGTAATGTAAATCACAGCCTGTACATTCATAACTGGGGACACATAGCACTATGTGTCCCCAGTTATTTACAAACACTGGAGTGATCAGACGATCGCTCCAGTGTTTGTCCTTCTCACACGGAAGTTCGGTAAATATCAATGATATTTACGGATCTCCCACTCTGACACGCACAGAGCCGCTGTCATCCTGTCCCCCCCCGCCCCCCCCCGCCCCCCTGAAGGGGGGGGGCGGACGAGGGAGCGCTGTCATATCGGATGGCCAGCGGTGAGGGGGAGAGAAGCTGGTCCCACAGGACGAGCTGTGACGGCCGCACGGCTCGCACACACCTAAGGCCGGCCCTGGTTATAGACGAATTAACGTGGTAAATCAGCATAAAAGTCACGAAACGTGAGCAAAAGCAATAGTAGTGTGCCCTAATTGATCTAGTTTGGTTTTAATTTTGGGTATATAATTTGCGTTTTTTTCTTTGACCTGGAGAGCTGTCGCCAGAAGTCTGGAAGGTTTGTCTCCTAGTTCATCACGTTTCTGGTCTAAGTAGTTGAGAGTTCGCTTATAATTAGATTCCAGGAGGTATTTGAGGTCTCCCCTAAGTTTAGTCAGGGTAAAACCCGAAATATTCTGTTTATGAGTGAGTTCAAATCTTCTAATTTCTGTCAGCAAGTCATGCATTTTGGAAGTGTGCTTTTTTTTTTTTCCTGGAACCATGCGCTCTCAGCCTCTAATGGTAGCTTTTTGCTCCTCCCATTGGCCAGTATGTATGTGTCACTGTGTGTGTGTGTGTCACTGTGTTCATGTATGTGTCACTGTGTATGTATGTATGTATGTATATGTGTGTGTGCGTCACTGTGTTCATGTGGGGGTAGAGAATGCTGTCTTTTCTTTTGCACTGTCAGTCAGGGGTATTTGCCAGTATCCCTTAGTCAGATTTAATGTGGTTATATATCAGGCAGTTCCCAGTCTGTCAATGAGCTCATCCACCCGAGGCATCGGGTAGGCATCAAATTTGGACACATTATTTAACTTCCTAAAATCATTGCAAAACCTTATGCTTCCATCTGGTTTTGGAACCAGCACGATTGGACTTGACCAATCACTATGGGACTCTTCGATCACCTCCAATTCTAATATTTTCTTTATTTCTTCCGCGACCGCTTCTTGTCTAGCTTCGGGTATTCTATACGGCTTTATATTTACATGAACACCAGGTTCAGTAATTATGTCATGCTGTATGACTGTGGTCAATCCAGGCATTTCAGAGAAAAAATCTGTATTTCTTCTCAGAAACTCTTTGACCTCCTTATGTTGAACCGATAAGGTTTCAGCTATTGCGACCTCAGGTGTGGAGGGGCCTGTATTTTTTCGAGGGGTTGGGATAGCCACCAGGGCTTCTCTGTCCCTCCAGGGCTTTAAGAGGTTGACATGATAGATTTGCTCGGGTTTCCTTCTCCCTGGCTGGTGAACTTTATAGTTTACTTTGCCTCTTCTTTCAATTACTTCATAGGGGCCTTGCCATTTTGCCAGGAATTTACTCTCAACTGTTGGGACTAGCACTAGGACTCTATCCCCGGGGTTAAAGCTACGTACTTTGGCGCCCCGATTATAAACCCTTCTCTGTGCTTCCTGGGCTTGCTCCATATGTTCCCATTCCAGGGGCATGACAGCTGCAATTCTGTCCTGCATCATCAAGATATGCTCGATGACACTCCTACAAGGGGTGGTTTCCCCCTCCCAGGTTCCCTTAGCAATATCTAGAAGGCTATCCTGTGGATGCCTGAGGCACCTCTCGGATAGCAAACATGAGATATGGCAATAAGAAATCCCAATTTCTTCCCATCTTTGTCCACCACCTTTTTTAACATACTCTTAAGCGTCTTATTAAATCTCTCCACCAGTCCATCAGTTTGGGGGTGGTAGACAGACGTGCGCAAGTGTGAGATTTTGAGCAGCCTACATAATTCCTTAGTCACTCTAGACATAAATGGCGTGCCCTGATCGGTTAAAATCTCCCTTGCAATACCCACGCGACTAAACACCTGAACAAGCTCTTTGGCAATAGTTTTAGCCGAGGTGTTGCGCAAGGGTATGGCTTCAGGATACCGCGTAGCATAGTCCAGTATTACTAGTATATGCTGGTGACCTCGGGCCGACTTAACCACTGGACCCACCAGATCCATGCCAATTATTTCAAAGGGGACCTCAATAATCGGCAAAGGTACAAGCGGACTACGAAAATGGGGAGATGGTGCCGAATACTGACACTCTGGGCATGACTCACAATATGCCTTTACCTCTGCATGTAAACCCGGCCAAAAGAATCTCTGGCTTATTCTCTCCTTAGTTTTTTCTATACCCAGGTGTCCACCCATTATATGACCATGAGCCAGATCCAACACCATCCTGCGGTATGGTTTTGGGACTACTTGTTGTTCCACCACGTCCTCCCCTTGCTTTACCACCTGATACAGCAAATCATTTTTTTGCGCCATGTAGGGGAAGGACAGTCTTACATCAGGATCAATGGGTTTCCCATCTATAATTTTTATGTTTTCCCTGGCTCTAGTCAGAGTGGAGTCTTTTATTTGTTCTGTAAGGAAATCATCCTTCCTGACTTCCAAGTCAGGCATATCATTTGGTCCACTTGCAGCACTAGAGCCAGGCACAACATCCTGTTCATTAGTCACAATCTCTGGGTCAGACTCCACCTTCTCCTGCTCCCCAGCCATTACAGAAAGAGGTAAAGGCATACCACCTTCATTAGACACACCCACAATATCCTCTTCCATTTTACAGTCAAAAGGTTCCGGACTAAGTTCCCTGGGTTCACCTGTAGGGGGAGTACAATCCACCTGAACCTTTTTATTTTCCCAAAGTCTCCAAAACTGTGGAAAATCCCTCCCCACTATAGCTTCAAGAAGTATGGAGGGTACTACACCCACAGAATGTGTCACAGAGCCCCATGGGGTATCAATGTCCACTACAGCAGTCTGGTAATCATGTGTGTCACCATGTATACAAATAACCCCAATAGTGCTAGGGTGGTACCTGCTGAGGCTGAGAAAGTTGGCTCTGACCAGAGTTACCACCCTACCAGAATCTAGCAGAGCTGTAATTGGCTTTCCGTCAACTGAAATAACACACATCTGTCTCTCAATACGTTCCTGACATGATGCAGTACACACCACTTGTGCAAAGAAAGACATGCGTTTTCTCAACATGGCATATTCACATTGCATAGGTTCATCCGTCAATGGACAATTAGCAGCAATATGCCCTAACCCATGGCAACGAAAGCATTTTATGGGTTCTGCACCCCGTCCTTTTATATGGCCTCATGGTCCTTCCTGACCTACCAGGCCAGTCTCTAGGCCGAGAGCCTATAGTCTCTCCAGTTTCAGAAAATTTCTTACATTTTTCTCCCGTGCCCTTAACCCCTGGAACAGGCTTACCAGGTCCTCTGGGCAGGTATCCCCTGGGTGAGACGGGAAGCTCAAGCACGGGGGGGACTTAGCAGGTCTGTTGCTGTGGTGTATCGCTCTACCATGTCCACTAGCTGGGTAGCAGTTTTGGGGTCTCCATGGCTGACCCATTTCCTTAGGGTGGGAGGGAGAGCCCGCAAATATCGGTCCATCACCAAACGCTCCACTATATCCGATGGCGACAATGTCTCAGGTTGGAGCCACTTCCTGGTAAGGTGTATCAGATCAAACATTTGGGACCTTGGGGACTTTTTAGCCTTATAGGTCCACCGATACACCCGCTGGGCATGGACCGTCGTGGTAACACCCAGTCTTGCCAGGATTTCAGCCTTAAGTACATCATAATCCTGAGCAGCCTCAGGTTCCAAGTCATAGGCTTTTTGGGGTTCAAAAAGCCTACTCACATCTCTGCCAACCTTCTCGTTCAGCAACCCTCTCAAAAGTAGTGAGGTAGGCTTCCACATCATCTGCAGCTGTCATCTTTTGCAGGTAATAGCTGGCACGCTTCACCTTTTGTTCCACTGGCATTGAAGCCACAGAGTTGCCCTTTAATTCTAGGAGGCTGTGAGCCACCTCCTTGAGTACGTCTCGATCTGCTTGTTGAGCCTCCAACATCTGCCGCTGAGCTGTAGTGGCCTGCTGCTGGGCCTCTGCAAACTGGCGATTTGTCTCTTGTTGGGCTGTAGTGGCCTGCTGCTGGGCCGCAGTGGCTTGAAGCAAAGCCCTTATTCTCATCCTCCATCATGCAAGTTGCTCAGGGAAATGCCCGCATTCTCCACCATATGTGGGGGTATAGCTCGAATGGGGGATCACCTTCCCTGGGAAAAACAGTCCAGGCAGCAAAGTTCTTTTTCTCTCTGAACACATCCAACATGTAGCTCTCTCTCAGAAGGCTGTCTGAGTCCCAGGCCAGAGCAAAACCATGCCTCAGCCTTCCCCTTTTATCTCACCTGGACAAGCACTCATCAAGCAATCAACTATCCAGTTGAGACACAAAGCCCGAGCTGGACTATCCAGACCGAAAGTCAAAGCGAAACCCTGGTCAGTGTTCCGCTATTCATGCACATAGGATAGAAAGCGAGGGGAAACATACCGCCCCTCAATGATGTCCCCTCTCCTTATGTCACAGTATGTATGTATGTATGTGTGTGTGTCACTGTGTTCATGTATTTGTGTGTCACTGTGTTTATGTATGTTTTTGTGTGTGTCTATCTTTCTCTATGAGCTTGTAAGCCTTTCAAAGTCATAGTGCCCATAGTTCGTATACAGTGTGTTATATATATATATATATATCCAGAGCGGTAGCTGTGAAACTCCCACCCGCGTTTTGGGAGGGAGCGTGGCAGTGCATTGTATTCAATGGCACCGCTTCCACGCCCCACCGCCCCCGCAGTACGATCGCACACGTGGCAAAACTTTGCCAGCGTTTCGTTTAACTGCAAACGCAAAAAATAGGGCAAGATTTTGCCACGCGTTCGATCGCACTGCAGGCGGTTGGGGGCGTGGAAGCGGTGCCATTGAATACAATGCACTGCCACGCCCCCTCCCGCCCCAAAACGCGGGGGGAAGTTTCACAGCGATCGCGGTGCGTTCCAGCTGCTACCGCTCTGGAACGCACATGCAGTTCTGATTATTTAAATTTTTAATGTATAGCTGGTGGTATTCTGCATTGCTGTATAGCACCAACTGTGTAGGACTACAAGTCCCAGCAATACATTATGTTATTAAGTAGGGATGCACCAGTGTGTGTGGTGTGTGTGTGTAGCTGTTATTATTATTTACAATGTATTGCTGGGACTTGTAGTCCTGCATAGCTGGTGGCATTCTGCATTGCTGTATAATGATTATATAGCAATGCAGAATAGCACCAACTATGCAGGACTGCAAGTCCCAGCAATACATTATATTATTAAGTAGGTGTGCTTAGGCGCGTGCGTGCGCGCGGGTGGGTGGAAAAATGCACCTTCGCCTGAGTTGGCAAAATCCTTGCACCGGCCCTGTACTGACTAAAAGAGGCAGTGAGCACATAGTGCTATTTGGAATGGGGGCTGAAAGAAGGAAGTTAAAAAGGTCACCCGCATCCTGTAAAATATCAAATTAAAGTAAGAATTGTATATTGGCATAAGCGACCATATAAAATGGCAGCATCTCAGGTAATCGCAACTAGATATCAGAGATACAGGGAAGCATTTAAGGCACTGTTTATATCTCACCGGCTGCAACAAGAAAATGCAAAACATATTTACAGTCACTGGCAGGAGGACGATGGAGCAACTGTCTGCCAGGAGCGATCTCTAAGCGGTTCTGTTGGGACCATAGATTCTTACCAGCCAGGTAGCGCCGTGGCGCGGATCAAGAGGGTTTCACAGAATTGTTGGAGATTCAAGACCGAAGAGTGGCCATTTTCCCTTTTTTCTCCGGTCGATGAGGCAAGATGGGAAGCCCCAAGCGGTACAAGATTCCAAAGATATATCAACTGGATATACAGCGCTATGATGATGATGATTCAATTAGTGGATATTAAATTATAAGTGTATATATAACAAATATTCCAGAGGACTGTAGAAGGTCCAGTAGAGGGCGTATGGCTCTACCCCGCGCCACAATTTCTCTAGCCATGTCAGGAAAGATGTGTATTTTGGTGCCATCGAAGTCGATAAGTGCATTATCCCTCAGCTTCAGCATGATGGTTTTCTTGTCAGTATAATAGTGTAGGCGACATATAATGTCCCGTGGAGATTCCGAGGGAAGTCCTCTGGGCCGTAGTGCACGGTGTGCCTTGTCGAAGAGTAGTGGAGCCGTGGCAGGTTTGGAGAGTAGGCCATTGAGGACTCTAATCGTGTCTGCCAGATCCACATCGCCCGTGGCCTCTGGGAGAATGTGGATCCGCAAGTCGTTTCTGCTTCTGCAATTCTCCAAGTCTTCCGCCTTGTAGGGCAGGGAGCGGTTGGCCCGCACGGCAGTCTGCAACTGTGTTTGCATAGAAGAGATTGCAGAAGCGTGGGAGTACAATCTGTTCTCAGAGTCTTCGACTCTATGTAGCAGGTGGGTGACTTCACCACTGAAGGACAAGATGTCCGCTTTCAACGAGTGTTCTAGGCGCGTGAACATCCCCAGAAATTTCATCTTAGTAGGAAGCGCCTGAACCAGGTCATCCATCGGCATGGTCGAGCGTGCGTTCAGATCATCCCCAGAGTCAGAGCGGGCACTCTGTGAGTCTGGGTCACGAACAGTGGAAAAGGAACACCCTCCCGGAGCCCAAAAAACTTTTATGGAGCCTGAAGATGGGGTTTTCGAAGGGTCACCACAACCAGTCTTCCTCCCCATTTAAAAAAAGACAGAAGGTGAGAGTGTAGCAGGTGAGATGCCGGTACAGCTGGTAACGAGGCACGGAGATCAGTTCAAGAGCATAGTTTGGGCACACCCACTGCTCTTGTCATCTTGACTCAATAATAAATTAATGTTATGCTAAGACTTTGCACAAACTTTTTTTTTCCCCCTGCGTGCATCACATGTAGTGTCAAAAGGGGAATAAAGCTCTCCTAAAGTAAATGCATATGTTCACTTTGAGCTTTAGCATGCCACTACTTTACATGAAAGTTGCAGCAATGCAGACTTGGGCATTTTACGGCCGTATCTGGCCCTTTGTCTGTCCATGTCGGGCCCGCTGTCTGGATAACAGATCAATAGCCGAACTGCACTCGGTTATGGCTGGCTGACAGTGGATGCGCCAGCCTCCAAGGCCAGTGCATCCACTGCAAGTCATAGCACAGAGCAGGTTGATGGGTCCAGACCGGGTTCCTCCAAAGTCGTTGGTTGCTGGGACCGCTGGCATCTTAGCGACCAATGACGTCAGGGGTCTTCCTCCTCTTCAGTCATTGGGTGCTAGGACTGCCTTTTCACCCCCAGTATTAGACACTTCCTCATGTGTCCATCCTCTTCTGCAGATTCATGTATGTGCCACATGTAAGGGACAATAAGGCTTCATTCAGAGCCTGTTCTCACCAATGCCATGCGTTAATTGTACGGTTCTGTGTGAGTAAGGCACTGTACCGCACAACGCACCTACCATGCATTAAAATATGGAAGGTGCATTACATGCACTACTTTTTTTCAACCACAGCAAACAATATTGTGGTACTACGCTTTCCGCCACAGTCGAACGCATTGTGGCCAGGAGGTGCATTTGGGGTGACATTCAAATGAATGCTGATGCAACACACCTGCCACACTGTACTGCACGGAGGGTGCATTGCGTGGCACCATGCGTTAATCACATGAGAAACTGGGACTGTTATGGGGAACCTATAGGCCCTATTGGTTTGGCCCTCAACAACCGTCCCAATTTCTTATGTGGCCCCTTGAGAAAGTTAAATGCCCACCCCTGCACTAATGTGATATAATTTTATTGAGTTGCCTTTAATTATATTTTGTGATAATGTTTCGTTGAAAAACATTACAGGAAAATGCATTTATTTCCAATTTTTTCCAATTTATTTACAATAAAAAAACAAGGAAATAGAAATGTATGTGTCAAATTTTGCTACCACAATAGAGCCCTATCTGTCCTGAAATTATGTAAAATAAGTTTAGGTAGACTACAAAACCTAAGAGATATAATATGTTGAACCAAGGAATTGCTAAAATGAACAAAAAACAAGGGAGTTCAAAGAGAAAAAAGCATGGGGCATTTTCAATGAATAAAGCATACTTTGTTGAGTGTGCATCAAAGATTTCCATTTAGTCTGTTTCTTTTAAGTATTGATCATTTTGAGCTGATACCACCACAATTGAAAGATCAATCACAATCGAGGATAAAAG